AGAAGGACGCAGCAGTTTCCAACCAGCTCCTGTCGGGGTCAACCCAACCAAGCCAAATCCTGCCCTCAAACAGGGATTATGGGGAAAACCCCATTACAGCTGGAGCCTGTACTGCTCCCTTTCCATGGAAAGGGTTGCTCCCCTTCCACAGTCTCTTCCCAACACCATCCATCGGTTGATCAGTAAGTCCCTGTTCAGAAGTGAGATCACAGTCCCCTCTGCCTGAAGCAGCAGCTGACCTCAAACACCAGCTCTTCTCCAGCTTTTTCAGGGAATCACAGAATCCCAGGCTAGTTTGGGTTGGAAGGAACCCTAAAGCCCATCCAGTCCCACCCCCTGCCATAGGCAGGGACACCTTCCACTAGACCAGGTTGCTCCAAGCCCCATCCAACCTGCCTTTGGACACTTCAGAGACCCAGGGGCAGCCACAGCATCTCCATGGCTTTCTCCATATAAAAGTAATTGCTAAGCCAAGGAATTCATGCATCAGTCTTCCAAAGTGAACTGCTGTTGCTGGGAATTTTCTACTACAAGTTCTCACTGGTGAAGTTACAAGTCAGGGGGAGAAGGTTCAAGGCCAAAATCCATAGGGAACCATCAGATGGAACGGGGAGTGCTGGGAATCCCTCTGTGCCACAGTTATAAAAATGTAAACCTTTATTTAGAGAAACTGCAGCTGAGGCTCTTAAAGGTGAATTAATTCAGAGCTATAATCTGAGATTCTAATAAAAATCAGGGTTGCTGGAAACAAAAGTGAACCACAAGGCAAAACAGTCACACTGGAACATGGAACATTCTCCCTTTTCCAATGTTTTCCACCCTAAAACAAGCTCTCAACTCCAGCTGAGGGTCCCAGGAAGGTCCATGGGACAAGGACCAGCTGTTTGATGGCTGAAGGGAGTTACAGGTGGAACAGCAGGTACCACCAAGCATCCACATCCCTCAGGCACTTCCACAAGTTTTTAGCTCATTTCCCACCTTCCTCAAGAAAGGAGGTGACCAGGAGGGAGCTGGAAGTGCAATGACAGGAGACACACACAGAGTTGTGCCTCCCAAAATACAGGTGCTCAGTTATAGCTAACAGCCACTTTCCTCTGATGTTTCAGGCTTCAAAGCCCACAAAAAGGATAAATTTGGGATCTGGACTATTCCCAGTCTCACACACACACTCTCTGTACGGTGTCTGGGTGCTCAGCCAAGCTCCTGCTTCAGTACCTGCCATCCACTTGTAAAATAATCTTAATTTTACAATAAAAAATAGACCCAAACTAACACCACATGGTAAAGACTCACTAAACACCTCCCAGGACTAGAGCCCCTCTGCTCTGGAGCCAGGCTGGGAGAGCTGGGGGGGTTCCCCTGGAGAAGAGAAGGCTCCAGGGAGAGCTGAGAGTCCCTGGCAGGGCCTAAAGGGGCTCCAGGAGAGCTGGAGAGGGACTGGGGACAAGGCATGGAGGGACAGGACACAGGGAATGGCTTCCCCCAGTGCCAAGAGGGCAGGGATAAGAGGGGATACTGGGAGGGAATTGCTGGGTGTGAGGGTGTTGAGGCCCTGTCCCAGGTTGGTCAGAGAAGCTGTGGCTGCCCCTGGATCCCTGGAAGTGTCCAAGGCCAGGTTGGAGCAACCTGGGCTAGTGGAAGGTGTCCCTGCCCATGGTAGGGGCATTTTGGCACCACATGATTTTTACATTCCCTTCCAATTCAAACCATTCCATGAGTCTACAAAGCAGAAAGATGCTGTTGTGCCATTTTTATCATTCCCTACAGCACAAGGAGACTATTTAACCACTATGTTTTCCACTCTAAAATAAGCCCCCAACAATAAAAAATAGCAATTACAAGTGACAGTGTAACAGCCAAGAATCCCCCTTATTTATTTTTAAGGTGCTATTTCTTCTCTGGAGCTTGTCCCCATAGTCTGGGGGATCCAACCTCTGGTGACCAGAACAACTCCAGGTGATATTTCCACCTTCCTGCTTCAACATGAGCCAGCACAAACAACAAATCCATCCATCCTGCAGGGCTAAAACACCCTCTAAGTTACGTGTTCCAGATTTTTCCCTCTCATCTGAGAAAAAAATTCAGATTTCTCACTAAAATCAAGCCTTCCAACATTTAACCAGTGCCTTTATCAGACCCTCTGGTTCAGGGGTGAACCACACTCAGCTCACAGAGGATGGAGACTCCTAAATCAAACAAACTGGGATATCCAACATCCCTTCCCTGTCCCCACAGGAACCTGCCCAAGTCCACCAAGATTTAGGGAAGGGAAACCAAGCTGAGCTGTCCTGGAGTGGCTGAAGTGCCTTTTTCCCCCGAAACGAAAGCTGGTCTAAATTTGCCGTAGATGCGAATTAGAAGAATATGTCGAGAGGCTTAAATGACCTGAGCCTGTCAGCAGAGCTTGGGGTTTCTTAAAAAAAAAAAAAAAAAAAAAAAAATCAGGAGGAAGGGAAGTCTTGGGTTGCTGAAGGATTTCGCTCGGTGATTTCTGCAGACACCCGGTTGCAATTTGTTCCGGAGTGTCACGGAAAGGGCAGGCAGCCCGGCTCCGCTCCATCCCCTCCCGGAAAACTGAACCATTGTACCTCTACTGTAAAAAAAAACCAACCCCAGCCCTACTGATATTAACCCATTTTCATCTCATTAGCAACCCCAGGACTGAACTGCCCCGGTGACACGAGCCGTTCCCCGAGAGGAGCCGTCCCCTTCCGCGTCGCCTCCCGATCGCTCACAGTCAAAAAGGAGGGCTGGAATTCTAAAGCCCCCCTGGGAATTCCAAGGCAAGGATGTTCCCCTAAAGGGGTGTTTCTTGCAACTGGTTTCAAGAGGTTTCACAGCCATTCTTTTCAAGGATAAAGTCTTGCTTGCCTGGACAGAAAGCCAAAATCCCAGCCCAGGGGGCAGTGGCCGTTTGGGTCGGTGCAGCTCACGCAAGGGTTGAAGTTTGGGTCCCAAAGTGTGACTTTGGACAGAGCACCAGCACCTTTTCCATGGTATCCCTAAGGATATGCCACATCCACCAACTGTTTGGCATCTCCAGGTGAAGGCACCTGAAGACTCCTACATGGCCCTGAGCAACCTGGTCCAGTGGGAGGTGTCCCTGCCCATGGAATGAGATGGGCTTTAAGGTCCCTTCCAACCCAAACTATTCCATGACTCCATGACTGTGACACTCCCACATTCCCAAAACCTCCTCAGCTTCTCCTCCACATCCACACCACCAGTCACGGGGGAGCAGAATTCACCAGCTGGAGAAGTACAGAGAGATCCAACCATGTGCAGTGCAAGAATCCGTTACAGAAACCACCCGAGGAATTTTTAAAAGGAAAAATACGGGGAAAATCAGTCCACTTAAAAGGTTTATTAGCAGCTACATTACAATGAGCCCGAGACAACCAAATGAAAACTGAGGAATTTATCATCCTGGGCAGCAGCATCCCGATGGGAGCAATTCCCAGTGATTTTTGAGCTCAGCCTGATTTCCATCACCTCTCCCGTGCTGCCCAGACCCCCGTGTTCCTCCACATCCTTTCCCACACGTGACAGGCCAAAGCAGGCCCAGAATTCAGTTTATTAGTCTGAGGTCTACCCGTGCTGTCTCACTTCCAAGGCTGGCACAGGAGCACCAGGCAGCACCTTCCCTTCAACAGCTTCCCAGTCTATGGAATTAAAACCAGCAGAAGTAAGACCAGTGAAAATTGGAGCGTTGAATGTCTGCAGTCCAGGGCGAATAAAAGAAGTTTAACAGCCCCTCTTTTCCCAGCTCCAATGCAACCAGCACAACGGGAATTCCTGATGGCTCTAAAGGAGCGAGGAATGCTCATGACTCAGCTTGGAACCGTGCTTTCCTTTTGCCTTGGGAATTATATCATCTGTCATGACACTGGGAAGATGTTCAAGACCAGGTGGAAGTGTCCAAGGCCAGGTTGGACGGGGTTTGGAGCAACGTGGGATAGTGGAAGGTGACCCTGCCCAGGGCAGGGGGTTGGAATGAGATGACCTTTAAGGTCCCTTCCAACCCAAATCATTCCATGATTTTAAGATAAGGGATTTATTTCAAGCAACATCTCCGGATTTCAAGCCTTTAGAAAGGTCTGAAAGGCAACCACACAAAAAGCTGGTCCAGCACACGAGTGCCCTGCAGTTAAACTTTAGATTTTATGTCCACAGAACACTCTGGATATGCTACTGGGGATCCCACAGTCCCCACGGCCGTTACTCATCCATATGCTGAAATAAAAAAAGGGCCATGATTTAGCAGTTTCATTTTTGAGGTCATAAAAAGAATCCAGAGGAATACCCAATTATTAATAAAAGTTCCTACGGCGTATAAATTTTAAAGGCACAGAATTCCTCTTAAATAAACAGTGAAACCTTCCCCAGCAAGCCAGGAAACGCTGGGAATAAAGAGTTCTGTTCTGACAATAAGCACTTCTGCACTCCAATTATGTGATGTGGGAAGGAGGGCAGTGAAAGCACCAGGAAGCACAAGGAGCTCGACCCCGGCGCGCCGGGGAACAGAAACACGCTTGGATCTGCACACAGCCCTCAGCACCTCCCCAGATGTGTCCTGGCCTCCCAGCCACCCCTACACACGTCCTCGGTGATCCCAGTGCCTCCAGCTGCTTTTCCCATCAGGCAGCTGCCCCTTCTCCCCCAGCCTGAGCTGTTAAACCCCAAATTGTCCGGCTGCCACGGCCTCGCCGTTCCCACGGCGCCGGGAAGCCGAGGGATCACATTTAACCTCAAGCTCCTGGCCTGACATTTCCCTTCAGGAGCCACTTCAAAAAGTGTTTCCAGTTCTCAAAATCACTCACATCTCTTCCTCCTCCTCCTCCTCCTTTTTTCCTCCCTCAGTTTTCATGTCTTTGCAGGAAGAACATCCTACAGGAGACACCGTTGGGTGACAGACCCCCAGCTCCACCTCCGTGTCTCTGGCCAGACTGGTGTTGGGGTATCTCACACCTCATCTCCAGAACCCACCAGGTCAAGAGAACTCAACGCTTCCGAACTTCAAAGCTTGGCCTTGATGATCTTGGAGGCCTTTTCCAACCTTCCTGGTTCTGTGACTGAACGGGAAGAGCGGGTGGGTCGAGTTAACAAAGGCAGACACTTCACGAGGCTTTGTCTCAAAAAGCTTCCAAATTAAACAGCAAGTGTCAAGCGATTAGTCCGGTTTCCATCGAGCTGCTGCTCAGCACACCATTAAAAAAACAGGGTTTGGGGCCAAGGCTTAATGAAAAAATAGTGATTTCTTACAGATCCGTCTGTGATTCGAATCCAGTGTGAAATAAAAATCTTTTCACCGGTTTTCTCAAGGAGATTCTCAAAGAGGTGAAGCAAAGGATGCTGAGGGTAAGTGCCCAAGAGAATTCCCTCTGTTTATCCATCTTTCTCAGTAGGGAGGAAGAGGATGGGTGTAAATACTTGCAAAGCTTCTGACAGTACTTACACCAAGGCACTCGAAGGCACCTCAGAGCTCACAGAGGTCTCACAGCAACCCCACTATTCAATAACCCCTAGATAATAATCATTTCTCCACTGGGACACGACATCCCACTTCATCCAAGCGGGTTTGGGAGCCTCTTCCCAAAAACCTGCAAGCCCAGACCGTCGCTGGCCATGAGACTTCTAATCCAAACAGCCCCAGAAGATGCATTTCCTCTCCTAATCCTTTAATATCCCAAGTAGACAAACAGCAGGAGCAAAGACTAACAAGGTCTCGTTACTGAATTTGACTGGAAAACAAGTTTCTGCTTCCCAAACCTGCCCAGGAGCAGAAAACACCATCCCATTATCCCAACCCCGCTGTGTAAATACTCCCTGCATACCCAGCCACCAGACTGACCTTTCCAAAGCCTCTCCTGCCTGCACCCCAAGCCCATAAAACTCCCTCGCTTTTAATAAACAGCGTTATTTTGACTCGCTGTGCTCGTTAAAGAAAACCCCCGGAACACGAGACGCCGCTCAAAGCAGCGGGAAGTTCGGCTCCGGGGATGCTCCGGGAAGGCCGATAAAAAACGCGGCCCCCGCGGAGCCGGCGGATGCAGGGATCTTCCCAACGCTCCCTGTGAGCCCACACTTGGCACAGGCACGTCCAGCCCACGTGGCAGGGCAGACAGAGCCTCACCCAGGGGCTCCCCATGACCTCGGGAGAGCAGGGAGAGCCACCGGAGCGCCGACACCCGGCACAGGGACATTCCCTGCCCGGCGCGTCCCGGGAAAGGCAGTAAAATCTAATTTGCTCCCCAATACGCCGGACAGAGCCAAAACAATTTCCATATGCGCCGCACGAGGTTACGGAAAAGCTCAAAAAATGCCAGGGATGAGGATAATTAAGAACATTACACAAAGTGCATTTTTGGGACGCTTCTCCAGGCCATCAAAAGGCCACCGGGCAGGATCTGGATGGAAGCTGGAAAATGTCCTGGTGTCCACTGGCTCATGTGGCTTTGCAGGGGGTGGCCATGTGGTTGTGTTTAAAATGAAGCCCATGGAGGGGGCAGGATTTCCCAATAATTCCGGAGTCATCACATGCCACGTCCTACTTATCGGCCTCATTCCAAACAAACTGCTCAAAGCCCGTCGTGTTCCCGCAGTTCCACTAAATCCACCTCCAACAGGACAGCCTGGGATGTGCAGAGGCTCTGAGGGATGTGGTCCCTTCCTGGGGGCTTCCCATGGAAGGAGATGTTCCCACTGCAGGGCACAGGAATGAGCCTCACCTGGAGTTTCTGGATGGGACCATCAGTAAACGGCCAAGGGGTTTGTTGTGATGTCCAACCTTCACACGCCAAGCTCTCCTCCACATCCCTCATTCCTTCCACCTGGATTCTCCCTAACACATCCCTGCATCTCTCACGTGCTCCTGGGACACACCAGCACCCTGAAGCTGCGTTGCATCCACTCCCTGTTCTCCACAGCCAGGAATCGTGGACCTCCAGCTCTCCATCACCCAACCCCATCACCACCATCATCCCTTTGGAGAGATCCCAAAAGAGGTCACCAGGATGGACTTGATGGGAGAGAGGCAGCTGGGCAGGATGAGAGTTGCTGTTGCAAAACTCCATCCTGGGATCCAACCGTGGGAAGGGCTAGAAACCACACTTGGAATGAGCCAAGGAACAGCTCCACGTGCCGGAAAGCCGAGTTCACCCAGTTTTTTTCCATGCAAAAAAGCAGGAAGGGTGGCTCGAACACGAGTCAGATTTTTTTAAAACTGCAAATTTTCATTTAATCTTTAAAAAATGGCATCATATCGTTTTTATTACAATACCAATGTATTAAAAATTACTTTAAAATTAAAAAAAAGAAAAACCAGCAGATACTCAGGACTCGGCACTGACACAGAGCTATTCCCTGTACTCTCAGTAAATTGAATTAAATTCAGATCCAGTTGGAAGTACAACCAGTAGCACAGAGTAAACTTGCATCCTCAAACCAATCATCACAAATCCGGGGAACTCAAGGTCCGAATTAAATTTAAATCCAAGATATACCTAAAATATTGCAGGACACAGCTGGGTGCTCAACAGCCTTAGTGTGGCTCTGGATCCAGCATCCCAGCATTCCCAGGGAACACCTATTAGCAGCTGTCACCTCCAGGCCCAGTAATTGGGGGAAAAACAAATAAATCTCCTCCTTTCCCTACTCATCCACAAGATTTTTCTAAGCCCAGCTGCATTTTGATCCTGGGAAAATTTCTATACTGGGGAAAATTTCTATACTGGGACAGTGGCAGCTCGTGGACCCACATGAGATTTAGGAATCTTTGTTCAAGCTCTTTGCAGGCACGAGAGGCCACATTAAACACTTGGAGGAGGCACTTGGGATCTACTTGAGTGGCTCTCAGTGAGCTCTGACCTGCAGGGATGGAGCGAAGCGCGGGAAGGCATCCAAACCCCGGATCTGAATCCCTGATTTCACAGACATGGTTGTCTTTCTATGGAGCTGCTGTTAATCCACGCTCTGAAGCGCTTCATCTTCTCCAGCTGACAGTCAGAACTGGATTCCTCCCAAAATCCAAGCAGCACTTCAGTTCTGAACAGCACTGGGCAATGTTTTGCCTCATTTTTTGTTGCCCGGAGAGAGACTGCGGATTCACCATCCCTGGAAGTGTCCAAGGCCAGGCTGGACGGGGCTTGGAGCAACCTGAGCAAGTGGAAGGTGTCCCTACCCATGGCAGAGGGGTGGAACAAGATGATGTTTAAAATCCCTCCCAACCTAAACCATTCCATGACTTTTTAAGTGCCACACTCACACCCCCAGGTTGATATTTGCTGCCAGTGAGGGAAAAGACACACCAACCTCACTGTGACACTGCTCAGAGGTGACACAGACACCAACATCTGTTGGCAGGAAGGGCAAATACCACCTTCAAACCAGCACAGCTGAAACTCCAACCTGTTCAAACTCTGCATTGACCCCTTGGAGCTCAGACCAGATTCCCACCTATTAAATATCGAGTTCGACGCCGCATCCGAGCGACGCCAATAAAATAAAACTCCTGCTTCGCCTCCATCTCTGCGAGAGGATATTTTGGCTGCCCCAACAACTTGATCCACTAATGGCTTTTGGATGGGTTATTCTTGGCCCCCTCACCGTGCTCGCCCTGGAAGCCCCATCCCAAGTGACCTCCCTGCACATGCCCGGCATATTTCAGCCATTAAACGAGATAATAAACCCCCCAGACCGGATATCAGCAAGTGTTAATAAGATGTAATTCGTTCCTGGCAAGCCCAGGACTCAGATCCTTATTAAAAAAAAAAAAAAAAAAAAAAAAAAAAAAAAAACCTGAAACTGAACCAACAAAACCAAAACACACACACAGGTTCACGGGGCCAAAGTCCAGCAGGAGTTCAAGTGTGCGGGGCCACTTTCATCCGCGTAATTAAGAACAAGATCTGGAACGCGGCGAATTCCCCCGGAACCAAAGGTAATAAAACTCAGATTTATAAAAAAAAACAAAAAACAAAACAGGAGGGAAGGAGCTCATCGTTTGTACAGTGAGGCTCCAGGGTTTCTCCACGTGCTGCGAGATCCCTCCAGTCCGGCTGACCCCGGGAATGTCTCACTTGACTTCAGCCCGCCACGGGCTTCCTCTCCAAGGAGAGCTCCCCTCATCCAGCTCCCCCCATCCAGTTCTTCCTATTCAGTTCCCTCTCATCCAGTTCTCCCCCTTCAACTCCCCCTCATCCAGCTGTCCCCATCTTGTGCTTCCTCCTGCTCCCCCCATCCAGCTCCCTCCATCCAGCTCTTCCTATCCTGCTCCCCCTCATCCTGCTCTCCCCATTCAGCTCCCCACATCCAGCTGCCCCCCCTCCAGCTCCCCCTCATCCAGTTCTCCCCAATCCACCTACCTCCCATCCAACTCCCCATATCCAGCTCCCCCCATCCCATTCCCTCTATCCCCCTCCCTCCATCCAGCTCCCC